TCACTCATGTCGAACTTAAGAAACACGATGATGAACATAGGGGAAGGGAAGGAAAAATAAAATAAAAAGAGGGGGGCAAACCATTAGAGACTCTTAAATACAGAGAACAAACTGAGGGTTGCTGGCAAGTGTTGCATCGAAGGGATGGGCTAAATGGGTGATGGGCATTAAGGAGGGCACTTACTGTGATGAGTACTGGGTGTTACATGTAAGTGACTAGTCAACTAAATTCTACCCCTGAAATCAATATTACACTATGTGTCAACAAACTAAAATTTAAATACAAACTTCCACAACAAGAGAAAAAAGCTTTTAAGTGTAGGGCAAATTCAGTGAGGAAATGAAGCTGGGGAACAACATCTTGTTTGCTTTCCTTCCATAGATCATATTCTGCCAAACGTTACTCGTTTTCCGCGAATTACAGTACATATGCTACTGCTGTTGCTCTGAATTTGGTTTACCCTTTATAATAGATGAAAGGTTTACTTCAAGGTATAAGAGATTAATAAACTGCACCTACAGGGTTTGTTTCCTTTTTTTAATCATAGATTTTGTAATTTTTATTTGAGAGAGAGAGAGTGCATATAAGCAGGGGAGAAGGGCAGAGGGAGAGAGAGGGACACAGAGAATCTTAAACAGCCTCCATGCTAAGTGCAAAGTCTGACCCTGGGATCATGCCCTGAGCCGAAATCAAGAGTTGGACACTTGCCTCAGCCTGGCCTGGGCCACCCAGACTTGCAGGTGTGGGGCTCTTCCCTTCTTTTCCCTTCTTTTCCCTTCCCTTCCCTTCCCTTCCCTTCCCTTCCTTCCTTCCTTCCTTCCCCTTCCCTCTCCTCCCCTCCCCTCCCCTCCCCTTAATGTTTTATTATTTTTGAGAGAGCACAAGTAGGGGAGGGGCAGAGAGAGGGGGATAAAGGATCTGAAGCAGGTTCTCCGCTGAGAGCTGCGAGCCTGAGGTGGGCTTGAACTCACGAACCTTGAGATTATGACCTGAGCCCATGTCAGACGCTAAACAGACTGAGTCACCTGGGTGCGTGAGGCTTCTTTCTTAAAGACACAAAGTTAAATGTCTCTCTGTATAATGTAAGCTATAAAATCACTCATCTTGAGGAAAGGTGAGTTTTCCCCCGTTTTAGGATAGTTTTCTCTTTTTGGATTCAGTTATTCAGCTAGCCCATGTTTAAATTATCTGAAAAATGGCAAACTGTATTTCACTTTGTCAACAAAGGCACATCATAATAATTCAAATAACCTACATGTTGTTATTCTTACAACTGAATAATTTTATCCATCTACCAGGTGAAGAAGTCACCATCGATGAAAAAAATTGTATTTCATCCATTAAGCACTGTGGTTGTTCACTTCATAGATGCTAACAGTCATCTGAAATATTTTATATGATTAAATATTTGAAATAAATGGGCTTTCATGCTATTGGTCTTAGTTTCCACAGAAATAAATTCTCTCCTCATACGTTGTTGAAACTAAGGTTGGTAGCTCAGTCTTGCTAAATGACTGACTGATTCATTTGACTCTCCAGTGACCAAGAGTTGGGGATTTTTAAATTTTGTTTTCTTCTCTGGAAAAAACAATTATCTGGCTTATTGATATTTAAAACATTTTGCTTTAGGAGGTACATTTTAGAGGTGCAAGAATGATTTTAGTCCCATACTTTCCAACCTGGGGAGAAAGTTCTGAAAATATAGTAGAGATGGAACGTATGGGAATTCCAAAGATGTATGGTTGTAGAAAATTATGGATCTTTTCTATTTCCTTTGTTTCTTTTGTTCAAAGCTGTAAGACACAAATTAAAAACTGGGGCCAGGGGCTGAGCCTAGGTACAGAAATTCTCGCCATCACCACACTCTTTTGTCTTATCTCACCTCTTCATATGAGACTAAATGATTTTTCTGACCTCTGAAGACTTTGGAACCTGGATCTCTGCTTAAATTTCTCTCTCTTTTTAAATGCTTATTTATTTTTGAGAGACAGAGAGACAGAAAGAGACAGGGAGACAGAGAATCCCAGGCAGGCTCTCAGCCACCCAGGCGCCCCAATTTATCTCTTCTTTTAAAGTTTATTTATCTTGACACACTCCCTTATTTTATTGCTATAGACAAAATAGCAGCATTACCAGATAATCTTATGTTTATAACTTTGCATGAAAATTCTTCTTTCCCATATCTAAAATAACACTTAATAAAATCAAGAAGGCCAATTTTTTTTGTCAACATCAATTTCAGAGAAACTAATTATGTATTTGTCAGATTTGTAGAGTAAATAAGGAAAAAAATAGTGACTTTAAAAGTCTAATTTATATGGTTACTTTTTTCTAATCTCTTTATCATTTAGAATTGAAACGCTCATATGTTTAATTATACATAAAACCTGTTGTAAGGTACCCATTTAGGAAAAATAAATGAGACAGTAAAAATGTCAAGATGTATACATTCAAATACTTTTGGCCCCTGCAAATTTTCTTCCTAGCTCTTAAAAAAAAAATTCTTTTTTAACGTTTATTGATTTTTGAGAGGAGGGGTGGTGAGGGGAGGGACAAAGGATCTGAAGCAGGCCCCAAGCTCTGAGCTGTCAGCACAGAGCCTGACATGGGGCTCAAACTCAAGAACTGCGAGATCATGACCTGAGCCGAAGTTGGACGCTAGGCCAACGGAGCCACCCAGGTGCCTCTCTTCCTAGCTCTTTAATACATTCATAGAGCAGGTTATGGAGTCAGCTGGGTAAAAATACACAAATATGCATGCAGCAACAGAATTACTCAGTGTTTTACGAACCTCAAATAGAGGGGAAAGTAACCTACCTCTTCCCTTATTTCTCATCACGTTTCTTAAAGGGTTTAGAGAAATCATAAGGAGCAGGTAGGGAGAGCCTATGTAATTGCTTCTTTCTCTTTCATGGCTCCTCACTGTCCGTTTAGAATACAGGTGCTCCATCAGGGACCAAGGATAGATCTCACTGCTGTGGAACACGACTGCGAGGAAAATGCACAAGCCGGTGCCCGGCTCTCCCGTTCCGCAGAGGAGAGAATGTGAGCGAGCACAGGGAAATGCTCCTATGTCCCCAAGACCCAGATCCATAAACTGAGCTTCCCAGGACGGCCTGTGGTTCACCTGTCCCTAGTTCTCCTCTTCTACTGCACCAATCACTATTTTCCTCTGGTGTTGTCTACTGAACCAAACGAGTCTAAACACCGTTTAAACACTAAAGATCGCCTGAGAGCGTATGCCATTTATTTTTAAGACCTATTTCTTTTCATTTCTACTTTCTAGGAAGGGCTTTTGAAAAAAATTCCTACATAGGATATCTCTTCCTATTTTATATGTTCCTGCTGCTACTATATTCTATGTATTAGAGAGGGGCCAACATTTCATTAAAAAAAAAGCTATATATACATATATATACATATATAAAATATATTTTTTAATTACCTTGTCCAAAGTAAGCTCCCTTATGCACAGCTTGAACACCTTGGTAACCCAAACTTCTACAGATGACCTGTCCACCTCGTAGCTCCCAGTGGTCATCACAGACCGTGCCCCAGTGGCCACTGTGGAAAATCTCCACTCTGCCCTCATGAGGACCGCTACCACCAACCAATCGTACGGTCTTAGGTGGAGCTGGAACAAAAGCAAGCAGGGGTTAATTATATATAACTATTGTTTTATAGTGCTTAAAAAATTGCCACATTTTTCCCCCAATAAGTACGACTACTGAAACAAATATTAAACTTTCTAGCACCACCTGTTGGTAAAGAGTTTAATTGCAAATATTGCATTAGTCAAAACTGAAGTCGAATTTCTTCGGTCTCAACACTTCTATGAGTGACATATACAATTTATGTAAGTTACATATATGAGAACACTTCAAATATTATGCCCCAAAGACTTTAAAATTTAACATCTAAAAGTTTATTAATATCCTAAAGATTTTTCATACTACTTAGTAAAAATAATAACAAATTGGTTATTGTCTTGCCACATTAACACACAAACCGGAACACATAATCCAGTGACTTTCAATGATGTAGGAAGTGGAAGATATTTTATGAATTATAAACATAAAAATAGATGACCAAACATCCTATCTTTTACAAGAGAATCAAGATAACTATAGTGACAATGTTTATTATTTTGGATATTTTGAGAAATTACTAAGGCAATAAACTTTGTGAAGAAATTTACTATGTGTTTAACTATAAAAATAATTTTGTTCTGCAAAATTTAATCAAATTGCTATGTATGATAAACCTTTATAAAATTTTGATCATGTGCACGTTTAAATGACTATTAAATGACTCTTTTGGTTTTTTGTTTTGTTTTGTGTTTTGGGAGAGAGAGAGAGAGAGAGAGAGAGAGAGAGAGAGA